CTAGTCAAATCTCTAACATGTACTTTCCTTTTTCTGTTACTTAATTTCAGGGCCCCCATTGGGCTAATTCAGCACATACTGCTGAACAAAGGTATACTCAGTAAAGGCCAGAATGCAATCTCTTGAAATATAGTTTCTAACAGCCCCTTTTAAGTTACAAACACAACATTAACCAAACAATAAATTCAAAAGCTAGATTCTGCCACATACTCTGCAAATCTTGGAAAAGGAATGGGTAAATTCTATGTGCATAATGAATAACAAGTCTCTCAAGGGCATTTTTATGCCAGTGCCTAGAATTTTTTTTAAAATGTATTATAAAGTTAAAAACATTCTTCAATTATTTACAACTCACTATTTCTTATTTTGTGAATTTTAGCGCATTCTTGGCCATTTTTGCTTAACATAAAAATGTAAATATTCTTAAGAGGAAGTGAAAGGAGAAAAATTGAACAGGGAAATAAGAGAAGATGGTTAAGAAGACATGTTTGTTTCTAAAAATGATAGAGGCTCAAATTAACATTGAAGGACCCAACAACCTGTGTGGATCCTAATTTGTCAACATTAGGTTACTCCTGACATCCTGATAATTCAATGAGATAATTTTATAAGGTCAAGTTCCCAAGGCTTTAGAAAGTTAAACAAAGCCTAACGTGTAAATCTGTCAAAGATAGAGTGGTTTTAAATAAAACTGGGGAGGTAGGCAGTTGCCCCCAATAAAGCAGTTTGGAAGCCTCTGAGTACAACAGCATTACTTTAATTTGAGAAAAGAAGACTCAGAGATGGATAGCATTTTAGACTTTAAATTCAGAATATGATGCTACATTACAACCCATTCTCTTTTACAACTTCTGGTAGTAATGGCAATGTGGTCATAGCAAAGGGATGACAATGACAGGAACATGATTGTACTCTCTACTTGTATTTTGATATGCTCTTTTAGGGCACAATGCCAACAATACCTGGGTCACATTTTCAAAGGGAGCACTCACTTACAAATCTTTTGTCTGTACCTCAAAATGAGGTTCTCAACCTCACTTGGGCTGCCAAGACATTTTTTATTTGTTACCAGGAGGGACCCAGAGCAAAGTCTAAGTTCAGGGTGAAGCCATCTAATTATCTACTGTCTGTCCTTCAATTTAATTTGGTGGAGAATAAGAAAAGGAGCAAGGAATAAATACTTTACTTCTCTTCTTAATTGGGAAAATCCAATTGAACGATCTGAATGAGTTCAAGTACAAAACTGCTCTCAAAAGAATTGCAAAGGAATTTAATAGGTTCCAAGGGAAGATGAGGCAAAAACCTCAGCGAGGCACTGCATAGGAACGCCAAATACTTATCTATGAAAACTTAGGAGGACACAAGACAAGACAAATGTTTTAGAATCATCACACTCTACATATTTGGGCAAATAACAAATAAAACAATTATATCAAATCAAATTGAGGACAATTTAACCAGGCCAATCCCTAGAATTTAAGTTTATATCATGAGTGAGTGGAAGATACCTTATGTTTGAACCCCACATTACTAAAGATGTGCATAGTATGTTAAAGAGAGTTTAGTTTAGAAGTAAGGAGTGGTCAGAGTATTATAAGAATGTGTATAGATCCCTAACTCACCGGATGCCCCAGGACAGGAAACTCATGCATAAAATATAACCAAGGGAGATACTTGAAAATTATCTGTGAAAACCCTGCTCAGCTAAGCATGGCATGTTGTTCATGTCTAAAATGTTCAAAAACATATTATACACATGTAAGAATGGGAAGTGGCATTTCACTGAACATAATATTTCATGTGGGTGAGAAGAAAATAGAAGAAATTTGAGAAACTCTTTAAATAAAACTTCTACATTAAGCAAGCATTTTACATGACCTGTCTCTGGAAGCAATTGAAAGAAGAAATGGACTTTGCCTTTAAGGTCCTTAAATTATGAGTAACTGCTATTTGCATAATCCTAATCTTTCCCTAGCAGTAGTTTCCAACTTTATTTAGGTCCTGATGGCCATGTCAAGTTGAATCCCCCAATTTTCAGTTTTCAGTGCTAATTCACTAACTGTGGCATAAATTTAAATCCAAATATAAACGTCATTTTGCCCTAAGATTTTTTCTTAAAAGAATTCTTTTGGGAAAAATCAGATTTAAACAACAACAACAACAAAAATCCTACTGCGAGAATATTACATACATAACATTATTTTTCAGTTTGTAATGATGGGCAACGTGACAGAAACAGCCAGAATTGCATGAGTCTGGTACCTTCCCAGAGGTTACTCCTTTATGCACTTTCCAGGAAAATAAAAATCCATTCACAATACAACTTTTTAAATTGCCTTGAAAAAAATAAAAAATTAATTGGAAATAAGAAAAATAAGTCACTGGCCCTCATAAGTAGTGTGGTTAAATGCATTTTTTCCCAATAGTAGTATATAACTTCTGGTATATAATTTCTTTAAGTTGTACAGATAGGGAAGAAAATTATTATACTCTAGGCAAACTGTCCATCTGATTGAAAATTTATGCAAATTTTCTGACTCGATTTTCATCTTATTCTTTGGGAGAAATCAAAGTAATAAACCTTTTCGAGTTATACACATATGTATATATTACTCAAAATTAATTGAGCTAGCATGGGATTAAATCTTCACGTACGTTCAATGTCAGAACAATACTGTGCTGGTTTGGCCGTGGCATATCTACTTTTGGAAAAAGAAGACAATATCACAGATTTGAGGTAACCTAGAAGGCAGACGGACCATATCACAGACACCTTAAAGATAAGCATTTCTTTTTTAAGATAAGCATTTTAAACATTTTTGCCAGTGCTTCTCTGAGAGCAAGTTCTTTAAACAGAACTCAACAATTTTTACAATATTAAACAAAATACATCCCTCTAATATAGCCCATCAATGTTAAACCAAACATTTTCTGTATTTCTACAAAAAATAGATGCACACAGAGCTACCAAACTGTATTCCTGACAGAAAGAACATTGTAATGTGTAGTTCATCTTTTCCTGACAAGGTGGTTGGTTCAAAAAAAAAAAAAAAAGGTCAGATGAAATCAAAAACTAACCCATATATTGGTAAAAGCAAGAAAAAAGAAAGAGTTGCACAGCTGGCAAAGGCTCAGATGAGGGAAAAACCAGACAAAAATGCCTTCCTTCAATGTCCAGGTCCCACGCTGCTTTATCAAGAAAAGGCTGGAAACCAGTTTACTGCCTGCCACTTCCGCTTCCCCTTCTGTGTCTCCTGTCCCAATGCAGAATGGAAAATCCTGACAGCATCTTTTCCCAGGGGGCCCTGGGATGCGCGCTGCAACCTGACTCACTGATACTGCATGCTCAGTACCATGCTGACTCCTTGCTCTTGTCTTGAGGCTGTAGACCTAGAAAAATCACAAAGAGAAAAATGAAAAACACCAATATAACCCTCCCAAATGAGCACAACCTGCCATATGCTGGACAGAAACGTCACAGATAATCCAGGCAGCCACAGAGTCTGACCTGAGGACAACCCGATCTGTAGCCAAATTCTGTGCTTGAGCTCACAATTTTCAAAAAGCCAACCAACAACATGTGACAAAAATGCTAGACTAGACCAATGCAATGCTATTTCTACAATACAATTTTTTTGCTTTGATTCTGATTTTCTTGGAGTACAAGTGAGTAGTAAATGAAATATACTACAATAAATGAAACCTTTAATTTTCAGAAGGAGGTAATATTGGGAGAAAAAGATAAAACCCATTTTTGGTGTACTTAAGCAGTGCTCCAATTACTACTTCTTACAACAATCGAAATGATTCTTTTAGACTTACGTGTTGAATAAATTCTGTTATTTTGAAATGTAAGTAAGATTGCTCTCACAGGTGTCCAACCTTTTTGTTTTTTCTGCCTCACATTGGAAGAATAACAGGTGTTTTGTGCCACACATTAAATATACAAATACTAATGAAAGCTGATTAGCAAAAAAAAAGGTCCATGCATATTTTTCATCATGTCTGACACCACAGTTAAGCAAAAAGAGTCCTGACAAAATCAGCATGTGGCTTGTAGGCCACAGATGGAGACACCCTTGTAAATTATGGTTAACACGGGGGGTTAAGATGGAGTCTACTGCTGTCACTACAATAAACAAAACTTATTCAAAGCTAATAGCAGAAACTCACTTATTTATTTATGAACTTACTTATTTTTATTCCATCCTCCTCCAGAAAGTGTTTAGCATGGCTCAAAAAAGACACTATATAACAAAAAATTAAAATTTAGAAGAATGACAGAAGGAAGATACGTGAACATAAATTAATTCCAACTTGAAGAAAAAAATCAAGAAGTTTATCATAGAGGAAACATAGGAGTGAAGCTCATACAGTTACTTGGCTCATTTCTGATATGGGGGATCCTCAAAGCACCTTCAGTTTACACTCAGCTGAAGTTACTTTCATTTTGTCTTTTCTTTCTTATAATTGACAAACATAATTTTTAAGGTATGTACCAAGATGTGATGCGCTGGTACACAGTGACATGATGACCACACTCTAGTTAGCTGACACATCCATCCCTCCTGTCATCTCAGTTCCATTTACTTTGTACCTATTGTAGATGTGTAATTGTTTAGAAGATGAAAGTGCAGAATAAATGGCTTGAAGTGCTCTTAGTTGTTCAGAACCAAGCACCAAAATGTGCAGAGAAGCCTGTTAAGCAAGTGGGTAGAGGTGCAGTGTGATTGCTGTTGTGTGGGTGCGAGCGTCTCAGGCTGTCTTCTGGACCCTCCATCAAACTGTTGTCAGTTTGGGCTGGATGTCACAAACTTGATAGTTAAATAGGCCAATATGGTTTAAATTTGTATTGTTCCTAAAAGAATTTTTCTTGCCCATCAATTTGTTATAGAATTTCATAAAATGATGGGTGTCATTACAAAACCAGACACAATTAGTCGTTGAAGGGAAATGTTAAGACACCGATGGAGCAGACTGTGCAAAAGGAGAGAGAAGGAATAAGGACATGAAGAACCTGGTAAAACTACAAATCACAGGCTGTGTACTGCATGCACAGAGCCGTGTAACGTTTGCATACCAGCATAAGTAACACTTCCTGAATGCCAAAAGATGGCTTCCATCTTTATTTTGTTCTCAAGGGTGTTGGTATTACACTTGATACACACTCAATAGTTGTCCTTTCCCATTTCAAAAGAAGAGGAGGAGGAAGATAAAAGAAGAGGAAGGGGTAGAGGAAAAGTAGGTACAATGATCTGGAGGGCATCCGTTCACTCTGAGTTTGCTTTATTCATTTTCAGATGGCTTTCTGCTTAAAATAATTTGCAACCTGACTTGGTCTCTATTGCGTAACTCATATAATTTAAACCACCTTTCCTGACAATCTGCTGACTCCACAAATATTTTTTTCATTATTAAAGTGTCTCATCTTGTGTATGACTCAGTCTTTCCACACTGAAGGCTGCATCAATCTACAGAATGTCAGCAGCGCAAGTCATGAATACTGTTGTAATCAGTGAGTGGTCTGTTTTTTTGTTTTGCTTTTTTTCCCTGTTTTAACTAAAGGCAATCCCTAGTTTGCTTCACAAAGACATATGATGCCTTCAAAATCACATGAGTCTTTTTTTTAATGGAGGAGTACTACAAGACTAAAGATAGCCCTCAATTTTCCAACCAGAGTAACAATGTTTGTGTCTATGTCTTTGCATTTCTGCAATGCAAACCTTAAAAAGTCAATTCACTTAGAGCCTACCATATGTCAAATACCTAATGGAGCTTGGTAGTTCTTCATGGTAGGGCATAAATAAAAGCTTTGCTTTAATTACTGGGCATTCATATGTGTAAATCTCAAAATAAAGCACAAGAAAATGAGCAGGCACAAACAAAAGACCCTTCAAATAGCTCAGAAGCAGGGTTGTAATATTTTTTTCTTTTCTTTTTAGTTAAGACTTTTGGTGGAGGTACAACAGGATACTTAAGCGTGAACCTGTGTACTTCATTTTTCACAGTGGCATGGAAGGGACCAAAATTCTTAATCTGTCACCTTCTTGTGGTCTACACATATTTGGGATTTCCCATGATTTTTCTGGCCAGAATAGAATTCACTCTGCTACAAGTTTTGTTCTTAGTCAGGCTGTTTTGCCTCCTCGCTTCCCCAACTCAAACCTGTATCTTAAATTAGTTCATAACATATCCTGAGATTTATCCATTGCCTGTCTGAAATCACTCAAATCATAGCACTGACTCCATATAACAAGGCATCAGGATTCATTTTCTAGCTACACCTTTGGGGTACAGGAGCTTCAGAGACTCAACTCTTGGAAAAGGCTATGGAAATAAAGAAACAGAAATGGCAACAGGTGGGAATGAAAGGCCTGGAAACTTTTCTTCCTCCCCAGCTCCCTTCAAGTCCTGGATGTTCTTGTCGAAATATCCTAAAGTTCTGATCGGTCCCCAGGAAGGGGACAGAAGTTAACTCAGAGAACTGCCCTACTTTCCTATAGCTGTGATGTGAGTTTGCGGAAGAGATGGCAACCCACCATGTCCTCAGATGAGCATCTTAGAGGATCACAAACTCTGGGAAACTGAACACAAACAGGAGAAACTTAACAGGCCGTTACTGGGAGAACACTGTGCAGAGAATGCCCAGGGAAAAAGAATGGAGAAAAAAGTATATATTTGGACACAGGGAGGCAGGGTAGGAATGAAATGACAGGACCCAGAAGCAGACAACTCACTAACTCTCTAACTCACTAACTCACAATTTTTGTGGTGAAAATATCTCTCTAGGAATGCAGAGGCAAGGCTGAGGGAAGAAAGTGAAAAGAGATTTGAACTCTAAATGAGATCTTCTCCTAAACTGAAAGCAATAAAGATATCAGTGGATTGAACTAAGACTAACCAGAATTGATGAGGTTACATTTTCCACCATTTGTCAGAAATAAGAAGTAAAACTAGAGCAACTGAAATAGTTGCCCTCCTGCACAGTATTTTAGGAACTGTTAGATTATCAGAGTCAGATCCCACTAAAATACCATGTCCTACACCTCAGAGAAGCACGATCATTTGACAACACCATTTACTGTAGCTCTTTAAGTAAACTGAAGATGCTTCCAATTAATTTTATTGTTTTAGATAAAAGAGGTTACCATACGATGGGGAACAGGCTGTTGATAAAAAGAGAGAGAAATAAAAACATAAAGCCTGTAAGTGTGGGTGGAATGTTTTATGACCTGAAAGTAAAGAGGGCACTTAAAAGAATAAAAACAAGCTTTTCATTTCATAAATATTAATAGTCAAAAGAAGTTGGATCAGAATGGCTGCCAACTGAGTGTAAGCTAGTAGCTTATTTCCATAATTAAAAAAATAAATCCCCTACTTCACTCATGCTCTAATAAAGAGAAGTCATGCTTATTACCAAGTTGAATACATACAACACTGTGCTGGATGTTTTTTTGCAATGTCCAACCTTTGTCAACGACTTGGCGCTAACACTGACACCCTGACAAATGATCACAAAAAGATGCAAGAGACAGTCCCATGAGTCCCGATGACTTTACGAAATTATGGTTGTTAATGATCACACAACTCATTTGTTTGTCTAAGACCTAGGGCAATCAGTTTAAATACTACTTAAGAATTTCTAAATGAGATCTATGTGGAGGGAGTACCTTAACCCTTACCAGAAAAAAATGAGAACAAGAGCCATCCAATTTGGAAACTATGATTTCATTCCAAGTGAGTATCAAGATAAAACATATGGAACCACCACAGAGAACTATTTTTATTTTTTGATTTTGAAACAGTTTTGTGACTCTCACATTATAAAATCCTTGCTCAAAAATCAAGTTCTTAATCCCCAATCATCAGACAACTTGTTGAATATATTCAGGATCTACGTACATATGCACACCAACATTAATATACTATTTCACCACAGCTTTCCATCTATTTCACCAGTGCTATTATCTTGGGAAACCATTCCATGTCAGTATGTTTAGGTCAAACATATCCTTTTAAAAGGCTGCATGATATTTAAGTTTTTAGTATAATGTTATCCAATTTTCTCTGGATATGCATCCTTTGAATACACATGTACAAATTTGCTTTTAACTTGTGCAAATATTTTAGGAATTAATGATAAATTTCTGATAACATATATATCACTGCTGAATCCAAGCATACGTACATTTCCATACACACATTTAATGGTGGTGGCTAAATGCACTCAGGCATTTTGGACCAATAGTCATCATTTTTTTACTACTTATTATTATTATAGATGAAAAGTATTTGTTTTGATTTGTATTTCCATCTCTATTAGTGAAGCTGAACATTGATTGATGGTAGCATTATTTCCGTTTTCACTTTGGCCAAATTTTTATGCTTTT